GTTAAATATTTAGTTTATAAGCTATGACAATTATAAATGTATGAATCATATGGTGAAAAACTGACTTTTAAAAACAAATCTGTTCATTTTTTTTATAAAATGTTAAATAAAACAAAAATATAGGTGGTAATTTTTGACTGTGTAACTCTAGAAATGGCAGCCCATATTAAAGTCCCTGTTTGTGTGTCTGCAGGGCCCTGAAAAGAGGCTGCCGCTGTGTGGAGGTGGACTGTTGGGACGGCGGTGACGGGGAGCCTGTCGTGTATCACGGCCACACCTTTACCTCAAAAATCCTCTTCAGAGAYGTTATTTCAACACTCAGAGACTACGCCTTCAAGGTTTGCAGCAAAAGCCACGGAACAAACGAACTCCAGCACACCAAACGTTTTCGTATTTCASGGTGAAAGTCATTAATTCCACTAGAGAAAACAGCTCTAACCAAACTGTTTAGTGTTTTACCAATCATTCATCAAATTGGTTTGAATCAACCACTAATTAATTTACAGTAACCTCTAATGCACTGGAGCAGCCACACAAACCTATAACGCAATTATCTAAAAGCGTAGACAGAAATCCACAACAACCAATGAGCCCAGAAAAAGTTGTTTCTGATGATCTTCCTTACTGCTGGAACCAAACGTCTCCCAGCTGATTCACCCRTAAAGAAAACCTTGCAACTGTGAAGATTTTTTTTAACATTAGAAACATACATACGCTTGGTGCAAACAATGTTAAATAACAGATTTTCAAAACCAAACTAACTTAAAATAAGCTTATTTGTTTTGTTGGCAGGTATCAGACTTCCCMGTCATCGTGTCTCTAGAGAATCACTGTGGTGTGGAGCAGCAGACGGTCATGGCCAACCATCTGAAGCAGATCCTGGGTGACATGCTGCTGACGGCTCCACTGGACGGCCAGATCCCTCAACAGCTCCCATCGCCTCAGGTCAGAACCTGCAGGGCTATTCAGCTAAACTGCCCCGGGGGCCACAGTTAATGCAGGCCAACAGCACGTGCCGAACATCCAGCGTTTAAAGTTGATTAAACAGTTTATTTTGCTGTATTTAATCATGATCACAGCATACAGAACCCTATAATAGTGATATTAAAACAATATCAAAAACAAAAATAACACATTCTGCCTCCTATTCAACACAAATAATATTTTGAGATCTCTGATATGCTAAATTTTAAAACCAATTTTACTTTCACTTTCATAGTTTTATCTTCAACTGCTTATAGTTTTAACTGTCTTGGATGTTCATAGAAATGGTTTTTACCAGCTTCTAGCCAAGATTCTGACGTTTCTGTAGATATCAAACATGCCTATAGCTGCGTTTCCATTGACCATGAAAATGCGCAAATTAGAATTTCGAAAATAAATTTGCTCAATGGAAACACGCCAATTTCGAAAAACATTACGTTTTTCGACAAAATGTTTTTGCGCTAGGATGAGGTGGTTTTTCAGCCGTATCTAAATTGGTGTTTTTCGCAAAACTGCAATGGAAACACTTTTTTCGCATCACAGGAGTCATGTGATCAACAACCGGATGTTTCTACTGGCGAAAAAGACCATGACGACGAAGATAACAGGAAGTAGAAGTAGTAGTAATATCACATAAGTAGTATAAAGTAGTAAACTCACCGACTACAATTTCCCAAAAACACAGCATACGTAGCCGCTCCCAAGTAGAGACTTGTCTCTGGAAAGCCTCGATAAAAGACGCTGACGTCTCCTCTGATGATGAGCGCTAGTGTCGTGGTAGCAACATGCTATGTGTTTACATCCATCGCCGCCATGTTTGTAATGACTTATCATAAGAACAAACGTATTCACGCGTGACTTTAATAGCATTTCTTACTTAATGGAAACACCACAGTTGCGAAACTGTGTTTTTTCAACATTAACAGAATATCAACAAAGTTTTGCGCACATTAACTGATAGAACTCCCAGTAATTAAAGTAGGAAACCAGGCGTTTGGAATAAAAAGATGATTGAACCAATTGGCGGGCCGAACTTTGGTCACTTGTGGGCCGGATGTGGCCCGTGCACCTCCAGTTGAATAGCCCTGTGCTAAGATCTATTGTGTTTTGTGAGTCCTCAAAGGATACAATGAGTATAAGCTGTTAGCACTCATAGTACGTGTCAGGGACAACTTTTAGCTACTACCACACGAAAGTTTGACTCGATATCAAAATTTCTGTCAATTGCGCAACAAATGTACTGCTGCCATAAAAAAAGCAAAACTGGATTATTATTTGTCTCAGACTACAAAATGTTTAAATAAACCAAGGAAATTTTGGCAAACTGTTAGGACTAAAGGAGCTAAAGAGTCTAAATCCTCAAAAATCTGCAGGAAACTGACGACCTTTCTCATTACTTTCTACGCTTGACAGCAGACTTTTTAGCCGAACCACTCTCATATTTTTTATCTCTCTTTACAAACTAATCTCATTCCAGACATGTGGAAGACTGCTTTTGTTCTTCCCCTATTAAAAGGTGTTCATCCTGTTGTGCTAAACAATTATCGTCCCATTTCAAAACTTTGTATTTTATCCAAGGTTTTTGAAAAATTTGTTAATATTCAACTTAAAGATTATTTGCAGGCAGCTAATATCCTGTCATCTTATCAGTCTGGTTTCAGAAAACAGCACAGTACAGTTACAGCCTCCATAAAAGTTGTAATTACATCACTGAAGCTTTGGATGCTAATCACTATTGTGCTGCTCTTTTTCTTGACCTGTCTAAGGCATTTGACACAGCTGACCATACTATTCTTTGTCAGATAATGCTGTAAGTTGGTTTTCTAATCAAATCAAAGCCAATGTGTGCAACACAGTGGTTTGTCATCTGATTATTTAAATATCACTAAAGGTGTGCCACAGGGTTCAGTTTTGGGTCCTGTTTTCAATTTATGTAAACAGTGTCTGGGATAAAATTACTGATGCTTGTACTCATTTTTATGCTGATGACACTGTAGTTTATTCCAATGCAATATCTGTAACTGCTATGCTTGGACATCTTCAGTCTGCATTTGACATTCAAAATGAAAAAAATTGTATAGGTCTTCTGGACGGGTTCTTCTCTAATGAAACGTTTCGTCTCTCCTCCAAGAGACTTCTTCAGTCTGAGAGTTTCAGGCAAAATTCAGGCTTTTAAGCACTGCCTCCATGTGACTGATACTCACATCACATGGCTATCGTTGATACCTAATTAACACTTATTGTTAACAGGGGGTGGAGTGATACTGGCAATAGCAGCACTGTAGGAGGGGGACAACTGAAAACGGAGGCCTCCACCTCTGTTTAATGATGGACGGTCTTTCTTCACAAAAATGGCTTCTTTTACTCCTCTCTCAAACCAACGTTCCTCTCTATCAAGAATGAGAACATCCTCATCTCTGAAAGAGTGACCGCTGGCCTGTAAATGAGTGAAAACTGCAGAGTTCTGGCCATTAGATGTAGCTCGTCTGTGTTGGGACATTCTTTTGAACAGTGGCTGCTTTGTTTCCCCGATGTATAAWGCATTTGACATTATTCAAACGGATCTGCTTCAGCTGAAACTAGTCCTAAATGCTGTAAAGATAAAGGTCATGCTGCTTGCCTACAAGAAGAAAGTTCCACAAATTCTGCCCCCCCCCCCCCAAATAAAAATATTGACCGGTAAGCCAATAGAGTACGTTGAGACATAAATACCTTGGCATAGAAATCGACAAGCTTCCTTTTAAGTAGCCTATTGAAAATGTTAAGACGTTAAAGATAAAACTAGGCTTTTTCTTTAGAAATACATGTTTTTCTTTCAGTGCTAGGAAGCATCTTGATTTAATGACCTTTCAAAATAAAAACTTTATTGATCCCAGAGGGAAATTAGGTCTGCCCCTGTTGGACTACTGTGACGTTGTTTATATGAATGCACCTGTCACCTGCCAACACATGTTGGATGCTGTCTATCACGGTGCACTAAGGTTCATAACAGGATGTAAATCTTTCACTCATCACTTTATTTTCTTAGATATGCTGGCCATCATTAACAATTCGTAGACTCATGCATTGGTACATTTTTATCTATGAAACTATTCTGGGATTGTTCCCGGCTCACTTGTCCTCATACCTTTCACTTAGACATTCCAGTCACAGCCTACGCTGTCAGGACTTGCTCTCCTTCAATGTTCCATTAGCACGGTCAGAACTTGGAAAAACGGCACATGGAACGCTCTACAGCAGGAACTGAAGTTACGTACTTTGATTCCCTTGGGATAATTCAAATTTCTTCTAAGACAAAAAGAGAAATCTTCCTATGACACGTGCTCTTGTTTTTAGCTCTATTGTCTGTTTTTGTGTAACTACTTGTGTGTTTGCAAATTTTGTCTTAAAACAGGTCTCTCTTGGAAATGAGATTCTGGATCTCAATGAGACTACCTGTATAAATAAAGGTTAAATTAAAAAAAAGAAATGAAAAAGTTTCACTCGATATCTATAGGTCAGGTTATAGTCATTTTCGAGTTTAAAAAGAAACCCCTTTTGCATTTGAAAGGTTGGTATCAATCTGCCATCTTGTTGCCCAGTCTGTACTGATCCTAAAAGCAACTTCTCCATCAGAGCACTCAAAACGATCAATGCTAACTTGATGTAATGGCAGGTAAATGCTTCGAGGAACTCCATTGAGGATTTAATCAATTAAATAAGGTTGTGCTGCCGCGTTTAGTTAGGAGCCACCAAGTCCAAGACGATGTAGGATGTTTCTGAACGGCTGTTCTCATAGTTGTTGTGTTTTTTTACAGGAGCTGAGGGGGAAGATTCTGCTAAAAGCCAAGAAAATTGGTGGACTAGAGGAGAGTCTTGATGAAAGCCTGGTGGATGACGTCAGTGACGAGGAAGAGGCGGCCAACGGTGACCCAGAGAGCCCAAATACAGAAGATCCACCAGCTGAAAAGATCGACGAGGTAGACCTACGAGATATGGTTCAGAGTCTACCCAAATCCAAAACCGTTGGCACTTACCGATCATCGACTGCACGCGTGTTTATAGAATTGAGTTTGTTTCTAATCCCAGGTCTTATTCCTCCCTTCAGCAACAGTCCAAAGTGTCCAGAGAGTTGTCCGACTTGGTCGTTTACTGTAAGAGCGTGCACTTCCATGGCTTTGAGCACGCTCGATCCAACTCTAAATGCTACGAGATGTCTTCGTTCTCTGAATCCAAAGTAAAGAAGCTCGCCAAAGATGCAGGTATCTAAATGTTCATCAAATAAAATTCATAATAACAATGAACGACGTGAGACTCATGCAAATCCAGCGTTTGCATGTCTGCAGCAGCAGATGCTGATGTCAGCGCTCATGTTGCAGTAATTCAACCTGCTCTTTGTCCAGGGTCAGAGTTCATACAGCACAACGCCCGGCAGCTGAGCAGAACCTACCCCAGTGGTCTGAGGACAGACTCCTCCAACTACAACCCACAGGACATGTGGAACGTGGGCTGCCAGATCGGTGAGAGCAATGCTGCCATCTGCTGGTGCATTTCCTCAACCATCTGACAAAAACTTGACGAGAGGTTTCATTTGAGATTAAACAAAGAGCTGATTTTAGATTTAAAGATGGTGTCAGTTATTTAGTTGAAATGTTTATTTAATACAACAACAAACTGTCTTGTGTCATCAAAACTCAGGTTCAACCATTGACTTTAAGAGTTAAATGGTTTAAAATGATTCCTCTGAAAAGGGTCAGGTCTGAGGACTGAAACTCAAGACTATTTTAAAAGATTGCAAGAACATTTGGATCAAAGATTTACAGACACAAGGGATGGATTAAGACTTTTTCTCAATACAAGAAAGCCACGATTTGTACGTTGATGCCAGAAGCTGAAACCCGACCAAAGAAATAAAGAACACTTCACAATGAAATGCAAACGGGGGAGCATTTACTGAGTTATTTGCAGTTTTTGCTGAGAACCAGAACATTACTAAAGCAGTGAAATGGGTTTGCTTTGGTTTTTCCACTGGATGAAATCGGATGTCTCAAAAATGGCTCGATACAGCTAACGTCTTGCTGTTTTTCCTCTCAAAGTGGCTCTGAACTTCCAGACGGCCGGTCTGGAAATGGATCTGAACGACGGCCTCTTCAGGCAGAACGGCTGCTGTGGTTTCGTCCTCAAACCCGACTTCCTGAGGGACGCCTACAGTCAGTTCAGCCCAGAAAACCCAGAGRAGCGACGAGGCTACGACCCACTGCGCTTATCTATACAGGTACCCAACTTAACCACAGATAAATTTGTTTGGACGCTTTGGTTTTAGAAAGAATAATCTATTCAGAGTCTGCTCGGAGAAAAAAATACCTGCAGGTACAAAAGGATACTCAAAAGTGTCTGTCTACACCAGGTGATTAGCGGGCAACAGCTGCCAAAGGTGAATCAGAAAGAACGATCGATTGCAGACCCGCTGGTCAGAGTGGAAATCTATGGAGTACCACGGGACCAGGCCAGGAAAGAGACCGGCTACATCGTCAACAACGGTGAACCAGCTCAGCTTCAGATTATAAATAGTTATCTTTCAGACCGGTATCAAACTGTCAGCTATGATGGGACAGAAACCCCTCCCCTCCCCTTCAGTGTGGCATGCCACAGGGCTCTATCTTGGATCCCCTTTTTTTAAATTTATTATTACCGGTAAATGTTAACAACCTCTCCAATGTTTCAGATAAACTAAAGTCTTATTTGCAGATGATACATGGGCATTTTATTCTCATAAAAACCATGAAATTTTAATAAAGGTAGTTAATGAAGAACTTGGCAAGCTATCCACTTGGTTCAAGTCCAACAAATTGTCACTTAACATAAAAAAACAAGTTATATATTTTTCAGTATTAAGTCTAATGCACTTAAATCTTCAATGAAAATACAAATTGATAATATTTCTATTAATGTTAGAGCCACTCATTTCCTTTGCGTTACTCTAAATGATTCTTTATCCTGGAAACCTCATTTTAGTGCCATAAGTACAAAAATAGTCAAAGAACAGTTTAAACAGAGAATCAAATTATTGTCTGAATTTTCCTTATGGGTTTGTGTTTTAAATGCAGTTTTAATAGTTTTATAAAAAGAAATGTTCTTTTCTATATCATATATAAATGTTTTTAAATTGTTAATTCTTTCTATGGAGACTGCCTCTTATTAAGCCCCTTGAGGGTTTTCAGCAGCTCTCCATCAAGTTTTGTGAAACCTACATATTGCTTTTTTGTTTTGTTGTGAAAATAAAGAATTACAAAAATCAGATGAGAGTCAAACTGATTCCTCTGCTGCTCCTCCAGGTTTTAACCCAGTCTGGAATGAAACCCTGAACTTCRTGGTCCACACGCCCGAGCTGGCGCTGGTTCGCTTCGTGGTGGAAGACTACGACAAGGCATCGAAAAACGACTTCCTGGGACAGTTCACGCTCCCCTTCACGTGCATCCAAGCAGGTGAGCTGGAACCGGAGCGTCAATGCCGCACCTTGTTGCAAAACTTTTAAGTGTTTGATTCAAGCCTTCCTGTTGGTCTTCCCTCCAGGGTACCGTCACATCCACCTGCTGTCTAAAGATGGAATGCCCATCCCTCCCTCCTCACTCTTCGTTAACATCAGTTTTTCAAAGTTCACATGAAGAGGTCCAGACGAGGACACAGAGACAAGTCCGGTGTCTCTAAAAAAACCAAAGACTGTAAACAGCATGAGTCAAAACAATGGTTTTTAACCCCTGCCAAACCAAAGTACCAAACCGTTGTCAGTGTTTTACATTAGCAAGATCATATTTTATCCCTTTCTAACGGGAAGAGCTAAAATATAAATAACATATTTAACAACTGAATTTATAATTATTGGTTTAGTCATCAGAACATCAGGACAGAACATGAAAATAAAATATTGAGATTGATTCTGGGATCTGACTGGACCTTTTGCAGCACTATATGTTTGGGAGCATCATCCTGTTGGATCCAGTTTGGTCCAATGATGCTTTGGTCTACGGAGGACTTCACGGTCCACTCAGTGACTACAAACCATCAATCCTCCACCACCGTGCTGACAGCTGGGATAACGTGAGAAAACATGAAGAACTCCTGCATGTGGTTCAAACATACTTTAAAAAACACAAAAGGTTTATGGTTCATAATTATAAACAATATTATGAAGAAGTAGTCCTATGAATAAAATAAAAAGCTTTGCATTGTTGGTTAATCTACAGCTGAGTTTGTTTATGTTTTTATAAGTTAATGATGTGAATGTTTGGTAAGGCTTCTGAATTATTTAATGCAAATAAGAAAAAAAAATCAGTGATCCAAGACTTCAGCTTGTTTATTTGTTTTAAGGTGTACAGTACTTTTATTCTAACAGGCAATAAAAGTATAAATGAATACATCTCTATAGTCTTTCAGGCATTTTGCATTTTTGTAACAACTTCTTCAGCAACGTCTGTCAGAACTGCCGTCTTATCGAGACTTCCCCGCAGAGCCTCCTTTAAAGTGAGGCTCCCACCTTCAGAGTCTCTCAGCACCCCCTGCTCCACCGCCACCTCCGGATGGTGCCTGCGCAGGTGCTTCACCACCTGGAACTTCTGCTTGGCTCTGTAGGAGCAGTGGCGGCAGCAGAAAGGCTGCTGCTTGGTGTGGGACAGGTAGTGGTGCCGGAGCCCCGCCGGCCAGCGGAAGGATTTCTGGCACAGCCCGCAGGCGTAGCGCCGCCCGTCCTCGTGCTTCTGCTGGTGGGTCTTCAGCGTGAAACTCGTTTTGAAGGTCTTGCCGCATTTCTCGCAGACGAAAGGGCGCGCGTCGCAGTGCTGCGTGTCCCGGTGCACGCGGAGGGCGTCGGCTCGGTTAGCGCGATAGTCACACTGGTCACAGGCGTATGGTTTCTCTCCTGAAGATAAACAAGTTTGCTTTTTTTAAAATGTTAACACTGAACCTGGTGTATGCACGGAACAAGGCGGCGTTCAAATGATGTCATKGTGTCAAAACAAAGATAAGAAGAGAGTTTATTTTATTTACTCTGACTTTAATCAATGCTGCAACACATTCCTTAAAATCAGTGTTGTATAAAGTACCACAAAGTGATAATTGAGTAAAAGTACAAGTATCTTACCAAAAAATTACTTTGGTAAAAGTTAAAGTCTAATTTAGGAATCTTACTTGAGTAAAAGTATTAAAGTATCTGATATTTTTTTGCACTTAAGTATAAAAGTGCCTGTGACCTGCCTATTATTCAAATACAAAAAGTCAAAGAAATCATCTTTATACTTAAGAAAATTGGCATAATACACACGATTTTACCCATTTTGTCACATAACTGGCCAATTTTGTTTTTAAATTTGGCTCAACCAAAGTGAAACAGG